GAAGTCATAGGCTGTTTTGATGCCTTCTGCTGAAAGTAGAGTACTGTCTTCATCGTATATGTTTGTTTTTCGCTTGACAATATTCTGCTTATTTTCATTTTCCATATGTGTTTTCATCACAGTTGTATCTAAAGCAACTCTTGTTTGTGGATCTTTATTTGAATTAAACTACTCAGCGGTCGTCTGTAGGAAATCACTAGCTGCTGAAATAGTGCTTTCTCGCATTTCACCGCTGAAGTTCGCAATAACCGGAATTATCAGAATATCAGAAAAAATCTTATTTTTGTCGTCGTCATCTGAAGGTACCTTACACTTGACCAGATTTGTCAGGGAAGCGGCTTTTCGGAAAAGGACGTACAGTAACGAAATAATGATGCATGATCACAATATAAATAGCAGTGGCATCATTAAATACTACAAGGAAATGTAGTTCTCGCGACGGAGAGCGTTAAGGCTTGAAACAAAAGAAAGTAAAGATAGGTGGTTGAACGTTTTATGGTTCATAGCGTCAAACACAGCAGATGGTAAAACCAACGCGTTTCACTACATAGACCGCAGCATCATCTCGGCTCAAAAAAAATGACTGTTTAAAGGCACTTGCATTCATCAGGTGAACATTGTCATATTTCTTAATAGGCCCTTACATAAAATTAGTTGTTGAATTGCTTGACCAGAATGTAAACCAACAAACGCTATGTTAAGTTCACATTAGAAATGCTATCAGACTTTTATGTTGACTCGATTGCGAATCAAATTCATGATTGCAGATAAAAGAAAGTAGCAATGACTGTTGTGAAAAATTTTGCATTGCTCAACGATTTTCTTATAACCAGGTGCCATTTTGTTTCCAGCAGTAGCTGCGTTCATGTGTCTGGTACTTGTTGGCAAAAATGTGGAACAATAAAGCGATGGGGTAGAGCCTGACGGACGTCTAGAAGGTTAGGTTTCGATGTCGACGTATTGCCACTGCTTGAGACAAACTGCCATTGATTTGAACAAAACATTGCCAATGTCTGAATCACCTTTTGATTAACGTATTGCTGGTTCAGATGACTAAGGACTGTGTCACTGGATAATGTTTTAAATGCGATACAGTTTAGGAGCATCACTTGAAAGAGTCATTTACCCGCGTCAAGTTCTTTGGCTACAAAATTAACAATCCGACGGAGGGCATCTGTTGTTACAAAATGACATTTCAAGCTAAACAGCATGGGATCTAAATCTAATCAGCAGTTAGATTCGGTTAGATGAATTGCAACTGTAAAGTGCATGCGTAAAGGATCATGGTCATACGTTTCGTACGCCTCACCATGATCACATTAGAATACCTTGCTGCCCTTGTTTTCAATTCAACTAATATGCTAACTGAGTCTGATGGTGGCACTGAAGCAACTTGAGGTGATTTCCTTGTTCGAGGAAATTGGAGGTAAATGCAAATTTACTTATTTTTCGGGATTTGAATCCGGTACGTCAGGAAGTTTGAAACCGACTCATGCCTTATTCAACAGCTTTGTGGAATATGATTAGTTGAAAGTATGGTTTTTCATAATACCTACTGACGGAACGCAGAGATGGTTCACTCATGCTTACTGCTGATTTCATTTGATTTGAGAAGTGAGAACGAAGTGCAGCAAATGACAACGGTCATGGATCGTGCAACGTACAGAAACTACCGATATTTTACTCCGCAGCGACACGAATTGCGGCTGCCAGATTGACAACTTAGCAGTTCACTATACGAAACATACAGCTGAGATAAATTCCACTTTCATTGAACATGAGTTCACGGTCAGCTGAAAGAACTGATCATTCCATCTTAATTATTGAATGTTTGAAGCACTTCCATAATCAGCAACATTAAGGAGGAAATATGAATATTAATACGAGGTCTCGGCATTGCTTCTTTCAGTGTATACATCAATTAGTGTCAAGGAAACGTGGTTCCCTTTGATAGTTAAGAATAAGCATAAAAACATATTGCCCAGTTTAAAGCATGTCCTTCAAATCAAACGTGTGACAACTAAGAGTAACTGCTTTCATACAAAGTAAAAACCTATCATCATGATCTGGACATTGGTGATATTGATAAACTCATGCCATGGCAAACTCCGCCATGGCCGGTACCAAGCCCGGATGAGAAAGGAGGAGGGTTGGAGACCGAGCAACTCTCCGTAAAATTAAGCCACCTGCCACTCATCGTACTGAGGCCATCCAAAATTATACCAGCTCTGTCGTCACCCCGGTTACCAAGCGCCGCGCAGGCTGTTGGGGGACTGAGGCAGACAGCGAAAAGTCGGCGATCACAACCTGCTCATTGCCCTCTGCCAGCCGGGGGCGTCGCAGCACAACGATGGTCGACGAAAACCGACGCAAGGACGACGAAGATACAAGACAGCAACGGAGTCGCTATCCGTTCTGAACTGAGGAGGTAGACAGCGCGATGCCATTACAGCACGTCAGAAAAGGCTCCACGAGAACGACACCACCAGTGGGAGCTTAAAGTTGAAATTGGAACATATCCTCACTGAGAGGAAAAGAGCATGAATTAGTTGATGAGGCCACGAAGCACCAACTCCACATTGTCGGACTCCCGTCAACAAAACGTCCAGGCTCTGGACTCCTGAACCCCAATTGATGGAAGCTGTTCTACTCAGGCGTCGATATGCCGACTCGCGCTCAGGCCAGTGTTGGCAATCTGGTAGAGCGCAACCTTGCCGACAGAATTATCGATTGAAAGCCTGTCAGCGGATCCTCCGACTGAAGCTACAACAGGCTAAATCGATGACCTTGGTACAGGTCTATGCGCCCAATTTGGAAG